ATCCTCCAAGATCCTATATGGGTGCTGGTTCTTGTCCCAGCTGCTCTACTTCCCATCCGACTCCCTGTTTGTGGCCTGGGAAAGCAGTAGGGGATGGCCTAATGTTTTGGGACCCTGCAAAAGCATGGGACACCTGGAGGAAGTATCTGACTCCTGGCTTCAGATTGGTTCAGCTCTGGCCATTGCAGTGACTTGGGAAGTGAACCAGTGAATAGAATATCTTTTCCTCTCAGCAGACGGAAGATATTTGTCTCCTCCTCTCTGTAAATCTACTTTTGCAATAAAAATAAATGATTAAAAAAAATCTTAAAAAGAAGTTTTGCCATGAATAAAACAGGCCCAAATACCACTCTCAATCATGGGTGCCTAATTAAGAGTGCCTAAATGGTATTTTTAACATATACTTAAAGCTTGGTATATAATAAGTTTGTGGAAAGGGTCTCCAGTTTTTATTTCATATTCACAACATCACTTAAACTATTTTAGTGGTTCCAACAAATGAATGCACTATATTTCAGCTTTTCCCCATGATAATGACCCATTCGGTCAAGGGCTATTGCAACAAAATGCTTGTTAGAGTAACTGTATCCTTGCCCTCAACCATCATGACAAAATTCATCACAGATGGAGCTAACTTTTTCAAAAGGAACATTTATAACAGCAAACTGAAACATCAATATTTATGAAGTTCAATTTGCAGTTTAAAATCAATGTGTAAGTCTTGAAATGAGGTCAGACTAACCAAATAATGCAGTCTCTCATCCTCCAGCATTTCCTTTTCCTGAGGCCTTTGCAATATTGTAACTAAGGCACAATATGAAGTTCAGAATGCACACCATGTCAGGGTTTACAAAGAGCAGTAGTACCTTTCAAAATCCGTGTTACATTTAGAGACAATGGGAACAGCCCTGAATTTTATAGGTCCCGGATAGCACACAGACCTTCACTATACACTTAAACATTGTTAATATCTTAACATAATTATTATGTGAGAAAAGCAGCGCAGAGCCTTTCTTCTGTTTTAAAGATAAGCTTCAGAGACAATTTTCTGAAAATCATACAGCTAGAAATGAACAGAATTCAGCAACTTGGACTGTCCAAGTCTAAGGTCACATTCCTGTTACTACGCCACAGACAAAATGTGCACCAGGTTCAAGAGCTGGACTCCAATCATGCTCTGCAGCATTCTCTCCTGTGCTATTCTGCTTACGTAAACATCTGTCCAGATGGCTACACGGGAAAGACCTCTCCACAGTTAACTTCCCAAAGTCCCATCAGGACATCCCTCCATCTACCCATTATGCTAGTCTTTCCAAAACAATTTTATATTTTCTTACTCTTGTACTTGAGCCACATTCTGAGTGCTGTTTAAATGTAGTATTCAATGTAGCTGAAATTGTCCATGTATCCATTAGTCTATCACCCACAACAGCTCTCAAGTTAAATTTCCATATTCTCAATTTTGACAACTAAGAGATGGATATGTGATCATTTTCATTTCTATCTTCATCTCAGTGATGTTCTTGTAACTAAAATCCAGACTGTTCTCAACCTTAATCTTGCAGTATATTAGCCATATCTTTCTTCTCATTATCAACACTGGATCCGATCTATTAGCAAGCATGTCCTATCAGGATTACCTTCAATTTATTCGCCAACCCACCCATTCCAACATTATCTCTTCATTAGTCTAAATGACCCAATCTTCCTCTCACTACCTCCAATTGTATATTTATATTATTAAGCACTATGGATCATGCAATTTCACTGTTAAAAACTCTTTAAATATTCTAAATATACTGTATAAAGGAGAATAAAAAATAATAACTGGCCAATAAGCATCACTTAACCAGGTATAACTGAATGAGTAACTGTAGACAGTCCAATAAGATTCAGTCCTAAGCTCTGCTTTTTGCTCAAAGGGAGGTACCCTCTGACACCTAATAATTCATTTGATGATTCTTAAGTTACAATGTTCTGTCCCAAATTCTTAAGAGGCCTCTAGTCTCTAAGCACTTTCAATATATTCTATTATTATTATTTCAAAGCCGAAAATGGGGGGAGGAGAAAAAACAAGTTACAGAGCAGTATATGATACCCTACCCTTGAAGCCGATGAAATAATACCTATGTAATTTTAAATATGCACACCTCTGGGAAGGTACACAAATAACTGACAATATGGATGGCATTCAGCAGGGTCAAGTGTATAGACATAATCTGGAGTGGGGGAAGTGTCACTAGGGGCTTTTAATCACTCTTTATTATTCTAACCAACAAACTGCAAGCCAAATGTTAAAGTAAACGTGCTCAGTCTCCTACTTGAGATAGTCATCATTTTCCAAGTCCCAGACTCAAACCCACCACAATGACCTTTGGTTCTAATTCACCAAATCATATGGCATTTGCTTGAATGTACAAGGTCTCTGTTCCTTCCTTTTAAGTTCACTTACCACACTCAAACAGTTTTTTTGTTTCTTTTTTTGGTATCTGAATTACTACAAAAGGTCTTGCTATCAAAGCCCTCCTACACTTCCCTTCTCAATTTATTATTCATGGCAGTACCACAATATCACTTTCAGCATTTTAGGCAACTATTCAAAAACCCGTAATAACACCCTCTTGTTTAGTAAGCAGCTCTAAAACAGCTTAATATCACTTGTAGCTAGCACACTATTTCCTTTCCCATCAGAGTTCCTTCTGCAAACATGACTGCAAAGAGGTAAAGTTTTCTTAATGATTCCAGCTTATATCAACCTCTCCTTTTTCTAAATTTCTATTGACCACACCTATGCAGCAGAAGTTTGTTTTTTATATAAATTATTGTGTTGGTCTATGTCAATATCAGTTAAGAATCTTAACCTTTCTGCATCTTAGTCGTGTAACCTGTGGAACACTTTCAGGGAAAACCAGACTAATACACTTCATCATGTTGTAATTGTTTTCTGCTATACCTTGTCTCCTAATCAAATGAGGCAAACTTACCTGTAGTTAACTCCTAAATCCATTAACAAACAATTACGTCAAATAAAATAGGTATTTGTCCTTGTGACTGATTTTGATTCTGTCAAGATCAACAGGATCACTTTTAAACAACCTAAAATTCTGACACATATAACAGGCATTTTATTTGATGTTGTAGAAACATTTTTCCCTATTTTCAATGTATTTAATACTTAACAAGTTTACCAGATAAGTACATTTTCTCTTTACCATTCTGCAACATCACACACAGACAAATCAATTATAATCCTTCATAGTCTCTTGACATTCAGCTAAACTCCAATTTATTTTAAAGCCAGTAAAAAAAAAGTGTAAATGCCAATGTTCCTGGGAAAGTAGTAGAAGACGGCCCAAGTACTCGAGTCCCTGCACCTCTGTGGGAGACCGAGAGGAGGCTCAAGGTTCCTGGCTCTGGCCTGGCCCAGCCTTTGTTGTTTCGGCCATGTGGAGTCACTTAGCATGTAAGATATCTTTCCCTCTCTCTAAAACTTTCTTTCAAATAATCTTTATTTCACCTTATGTAAGTAAAGTAAACTAAAAACAAACGCAAAGTGGCTATTTGGTAAAATTAAGTGTAGGAATACAAAGCAGTCATTTGTCTTAGAAATCAAATTTACTTAAATGCCTACTTTAAAATGTCTAAAGTACAGGAAATCTTCTGGTGTTCAATCCAGGACGTTTTTAATCTGATTCTCTGCCAAAATGGTACAACAGTTTCTAACCAGAGAAAAACCTATCAGTTAAATACTGAAAATCTTTCAAATATTTAAAAATCTGGGTAAGAATGCAATATATACAAAACAATTACTTAATTGCGAGACTCACAACTAACAAGCTGTATAACAGACAACTTTATTTCCAACTATTTCTGAGCATTCAAATTCTCACAGACCTTGAAGCAGACAATGATGTTATCAATATAATCCTAAAATAATTTCTCATTTCTTCCAAAAATGTCTGCTATATTGACTTCACACAGTACATATACACAGTAAACTGGAAATAAGGCAAATATCTAACAGCTGTAAATAGTACATCAAAAATACTAAAAATACTGTACAGTGTTTTTTGTAAACAACTAGATCTATATTTTAAAAAAAGAGTGAAAAGTTCAAATTGAAGAATACAGTAAGTGTGAGATACCAACTGTATAAAGTTAAAAAAACATGAAAGACTACATATTGTCTATGGATACATATATACACAGAAAGGGTATAAAAGCATGTACACAAATATCATGTACATCATATCAATTTGAATAGCAATTAACTATATGGAGAATGGACAGAAGGGGATCATACAAAAGGGGATTTAAGTGTATCCACAATGTTCAACATTACAAAAAGATTTGAAACAAATATGTTATAATGTTAACATTGTTAAAGGTGGTTACAGACACCCATTATATCACTCTCTGTACTTTAAAATTGATATATTTCATAATAAAAATAAAAACATGCACAGAAGGAAAGGTTTAATCACTGCTACCATTTTCAGATCAAATAATTAGAGGCACACCTGAAACACAACAGATTTTCTTTACCAAGTAAGACAATATTAACAGAAAATGTTACATAATTGGCAATGTACATACTTGTGAAATAATCACTGATTATTGTAAAATGTACAATTAAAAAATAGGATTTAAATGCTTCTATTTCAAAAATGTGAGTTGTTATTTCCTTTAATGTGATGCATAATAAAAGGTTTAGACCACAGTACATAGAAGAGATATGGCCAATCAGTGGTTAAATAAAACGGAAGAATACATCATATCCTAATATAAATCAGCAATGGGTAACTCAAAGATGTCAATAAATGACTGAGAATACAAAATGTTTCTCTTTTCAGTCTGAACCCTTTAATCTGCAATATACAAGGTCTGCAACTGTGCTTATCAAACATGCCTTTTCTTGTCAGGAAAGGTTTCCCATCTTAGATTAAAACTTCCTTGATCAGAGATGAAGTCTTTCAAAATAAAGATAAACAACTACTTGCCTGTTGTTTCTGATATGCAGTGTTTGGATTTATCTTTGATTCCAAAAGTAGTGATCCTGAAAGATACAAAGATACACACATCTCAGTTACATATATACAAACACACAAATATACTTCAATTTGCAAAATCTTGCATACAGGAATATACATTAAAAACAAGTCCATCAGCAACATTCATATCAAGAGGCTGAGGAGACTGAATGCCAATTGTAAGCAACCGCTTGCAGTCACTCTTTGAACAAGTTTTTCTACTCCATTTTCAGTTTAACCCTACAAAAAACTGGACTGTGACTAAAATTTCAACAGTACCAAATTTGTTCAGAATAAAATCAGACTTTTCTTTGTATCTACACACACCAGTTGCTCAAGTCAGGCATTCTGATGACTCTGTAAGAACTATCTTAATTATGAATCTACATACTATAGTATTAAAATAACTCACATGACTGGCACAATAAATCAAGGAGCTTCAGTTTACAAGCTGCTCTGGTGCCCTGTTACTATCATAAGGTACACACTTTCACAGCTCCCTCCACAAAGGAAGTTTGCGGGGATCCCTGACTAAAGGGATGCTTGTGCGTGTAAGCATCGTGGCAACGGCCTGCAGCCTTCCCTGGAAAAAGTGTCTAGGTTTTCCCCCCAGCACCTGTCTCCCAGGACAACCAGGTTCCGCTGGTAAAAAATTCTGCTTCATTAAATCTTTTGCATTAGACATATAACGGGTAAGAAAAGACGTAAGGGGGAGGGAGGGACATGCAACTTCATAGAGATCTACCTGGCCTTTGACTATTTCCTGCTCTCAAGTTAAATCTTATTCAACGACGAGGCACTGGCGAGGAAAGGGTCAAATCCTTAATAGGCATGGGAGGCGGAGGAACAGAACCCGCGTCTGAGGATAAATCCGGACAAAGTAGTTTTTTTTTAAAAAAAAATTTTTTTCTCTACCGTAGCGAAGCAGGCTTAAAACCAATGCGCTGTCCGGGCCAGGGCCTACACCCCAGCCAGTGCCCCAGCACAAGGCACTGCCCCCTGATCCACCGATCCAATAACCTTACCGTCCGACTCTGCTCGAACCAGCAGCGACATCCCTTTGAGCTCCTCCACGTAGGTGGAGGAGACGTGCCCGGTGCCCCGGTCGTCCCACTGCCGGTCTTCGTTCAGAGTATACACCTTCACTCGCCGCCGCGTATCCGACATGGTGGCTGCCGTCCCCCTCCGCTCCGGCCGCCGCCTCTTCGCACACCTAGTCGGCGTCCCTCATTCCTGAGAGACGCTAGCGGCGGCGGCGGCTCCGGAGGCGCCCGAGGACATGACTCCCAAGGTACAGATACGGAAAAGGGGGTGACAGGGAGCCGCCCGGAGCCCCCGTTACCGCTCACTTCACCCCCGCACACACCCCCCTCCCCTCCCTTCAGCCCTCCCCCCCCGAGCTCGCTCGCTCTCCTGGCGCCGCGGGAACTACTACAGATCCGCCATCTTGTAACCCGACTCTGCCTTTCTCTTCCTCCCGCAGCCGCTGCGCACGGGCTGTCCTAGCAGGGGCTACGGCAGCCGACGAGTCCAAGGCGCAGCATCCCCGCTTCGGCACGCGTTCCGAGAGCCGGATTGTTGGCCCGGCGCTCTCGCGAGGAGGGTCCGCCGCCGCCGCCGCCGAGGTGGGAGGGCCCGAGCGAGGCTGCCGGGGCCCCGCCTCTCGGGGCGCTCGGGCGCGCGGCTCTCGCGAGCTCCCGGCGGCGCCTGCGGGCTGCGGCGCGGGACGGGCGGCCGTGTGGGACGGGCTGCCGGTTCCCGTGTTGGACCGACGGGCTGCCATGTGGGACGGGCTCCCGTGTGGGACGGGCTGCCGGCCGAAGGCTGCGGGTTCCCGTGTGGGATGGACTGCCGCGCGGGACGGGCTCCCGTGGAGTACGGGTTCCCGGCCGCGCGGGGCGAGCTCCCGGCCGTGGGCTGCGGGCTCCCGTGTGGGACGGGCTGCCGGCCGTGGGCTGCGGTCTCCCGTGGGGTACGAGCTCCCGCGTGGGACGGGCTCCCGTGGGGTACGAGCTCCCGTCCGGCACGGCCTGGCTGAGGGTCGGCCTTCGTTCCCTCGCCCACCCACCCGAGCGCCAGGCCTGAGAGCGTTGGGGACACTCGTGGGAAGCGTGGAACCTCGCACAGGACGAACTCGGCCCGAGTGTCTCGCCCTGCTTGGTGGACTTTGACCCAGTCCGCCTTGTTAAGAGGGAAAAAAACAACCGTGTGCGGAGACGTAGGGACGCTGAATCCTCTCAGTCGTACCCAGAGTCGCTCAGATTCGCCATGGAGTTAAGGAATTAGCTAAGCGGCTGTCCACGACGTGTTCTGTGGACAGTAAGTGGCCAGGCAATGTTTCCCGAGGTTCTCTTTGCCCGCCGAAGCAGGCTTTGGCCGGCAGGCACTTGGTGGCCGCGTAGTTTGTGCTTCCTGAGCAGACAGTGTTTGTAAGCTGTGTTTGTAAGCTGTGCAGACGAATCTGAGGGTAAGTTGAGGAAGCGGCGGGAGCCTGTTTTTGGTGTTTGGAGTTTCTCCGCGGGGGCGTGGGTTGCGTCCTGCCTGGGGAGGCTTCGTGCACTGAAGGAGCGCTGGCAGAATTCTCTCACCATTCATTCGGTCGCGTCCTGCACGGTGCACACAGGTCACGTGCTGTGCCACCTCGCCTTGTAGGTGACGTCAGCCAATGATTGTTCTAGGTGGAATCCCCTTACTCTGTTTTCCAAATGCAGTCTCTTGGCATGTTGGGCCACGAGGCAGTCTGAAATGTGGAAAGATTCCTATGTAACCTGTGCAGTGCATCTTGGGAGTTGTAGTCATTCCGTAGCAATGAGTTTGTCAAAACGTGCTTATGTTTTCATTAGGTCACATACATGTGGACACCCTTTGAAGCATTAAAACATGGGACAGTGACTTATACAGAGCAGGCGCCTAATTAAAAAATTTTTCAAAATCTTGTTTTTAACCTACTGGGTACCTCAGAATGTGAACTTGAGTTAACTCATTGTAATATGTCAGATAGTGGGGCTCATTAATTTCTGTGATAGATGTGGGTGAAGTAAGTTGAGGGGGCCATCTGGCAGGGCCTTAAGCTTCTGCTTGGGCTGTCTGGATGCCATGTTGGAATGCCTGGCTCTCCCCCCTGCTTCAGATCCAGCCTCCTGCTGCTCCCAGGAGCTTCTTCCAGGTCTCCTACACGGGTGCAGGGTCCCAAGGCTTTGGGCCGTCCTCGACTGCTTTCCCAGGCCACAAGCAGGGAGCTGGATGGGAAGTGGGGCTGCAGGGACTAGGACCGGTGCCCATATGGGATCCCGGCTCATGCAAGGTGAGGACTTTGGCTGCTAGGCCATTGTGCTGGGCCCTCTACTCATCTTTTTACATTTCTTGCATTAAGTTGGTAAATTTCAGTTTTGAAACTTGTTGACCAGGAGTACTTTAATTATCTACTTCTGATAAAGGCACTTTCTTCAACTTATAAGGCGATCACCTACCTACATACTATCTGATGACTTCACACTCCTGAGAATTCATAACATTTTCCTCAACAAAGCAGTTTTGTCCATCCAAGTTTTTTACTCATGTCATAGAACCTATTGTCCCCACAACCCTCAAGCTGAAATCCCTGTCAGTAACTTTCTCAGCTCTCCATATTCTACCTATTCTTCTCTGGGTTAATCTATACTTACATGTTATCTCTTTATATTTGCTCTGCAGAAATGAAATCCTTCACAAGTAAGCAAGTATCTTCTTGACTAAGTTTCAAAAAATACCTTCTGGGGCCAGAGTTGTGGTGCAGTGGTTAAGCTACTGCCTGCGACAGGAGTACCACATAAGAACACTAGTTCAAGGCCCAGCTGTTGCACTTCCTATCTACCTCTCTATATGCCTCTCCCATATGCTTGGGAGAGCAGAAGATGGCTTAGGCCTCTGTCACCCACGTAAGAGTCCCATATGGACTTCAGGCTCTCGCTTATTCCTTCTCTTGCGGCCATGTGGGCAGTGAAATCTTTCTCTGTTTCCTCTCTCTGCCTTTCAACTGAATGAATAAATCGAAATGAGAAAGAAAAATATCCCACTGCACTGGACATCTCCTTACCTTAAATTCTTTAATAAACGGTGTTTGCTTTTTTTGGTGAAGACTAGGCACCTAAAGAGAAGCACTGTGTAAAATTAAAATTGGTTTATAAAATGAAGAGATTGTTTTATCTTCTAAACATATGCCACTGAGTACAAATGAAGTCATTAGTCCCTAATCTTCAGATCTTTTTCCCAAATAGTGGCACATCTGCTTTCTTGAGTGTATTTAGGTATCCCTGCCCAAATGTTATGCTAGACTATTTTTTCCGAAATAATAATGATATCTCCTTATCCAGTCACTTTAAGGCCCCTATCACTGACAAGGTGTATACTACTTAGTGTCAGTTTCCATGTGTAAGAATATTAGCATTGGAACTCCAGATGTTTTATTTATCAGTATACTGCATACATTATAGTGACTGTGCAGAATAAATTTTGAATAAAAATGTTTTGTAGAGGTGAATTATATTAAAATGACCCTGATACCCTTATTTTCGTCTTAGATCCAAATTATAAGATACTTAAGATGGGGACTCAATTTGAGTTTTTAAGAGTATAATAGCCCTGACAGGAAAAATTGGAATGCAGAAAAAACTGCCAAGATTTGAAGCAAGATAAAAGTAGGGAAAGTTCAGGGGCAACTATTTGAAGTAGTAGTCAAGTCACTGCTTGGGATACTTGTAAAGCCTAGCGAAGTGGTTGGAGTCTTTCATTTCCAATCTCGGCCTCTATTAACGAGCACCTACTTCCAATCCAGCTTCTTGCTAGTGTACCATCTGGGAGGCAGCAGGTAATAGTACAGCTTAGAGTGTCCTGCCACTCATGTGGGAGACTCAGGTAAGTTCTAGGTTCCTGGCTTTGGCCTAGTCCAGCTCTGGCTTTTGTGGGCAGTGAAGATTTCTGTCTTTCAGATAAAATGAAAGCAAATAAATAGAAAAAAATTTTTTAAAGTTCTCTTCTAAAACAAAAAGTTCAGAGTGAATGCTGTTGGTTTTAGTGGGAATGAAGATCCAATGATGGTTTACAGTGCTATATTTTTACTTTGTGGTCCTATAGGTCTCTAGAGTTTAAGAACTGGCTTTATTTTTTCATAGTAGTTGGGAATTTCTTTAAACAAGAAGATAGAAAACAAACAAACAAACAAAAGCATGACTCAATTTTTCCATTGCTCCACTAAAGATGGTGTCCTTACTAGGGATGCTTACATCTTATATTGAACTGCCAGTTTCAGTCCTGGCTTCTCTGCTTCTGATACAGCTTCCTGCTAATGTCTCCTGGGAGGCAGCAGATGATGGTCCATGAACCTGACATCCATCACCCAACTGGGAGACCAGAATTCTAGGCTCCTGGCTTCAGACTCTGCCATTCTGGGCTATTGCAGACATTTAGGGAAGGAATGAATGGATGGACTCTCAATTTTGTGCCCGTTTTCCTACTTTCTTTAAATCTGCCTTTTAAATAAGTAAATAACTCTTTAAAAAATAGATTTCTTAAGTAGAGCAAAATGAAGAAAAACAAACTTCTGTCACTATTAGCATATGTAGAAAGCAGATAGTTCAATTTTTCACTTAAACTGATCAATATTTCATCTATTATAACAATAATGCCCACATGATTAATGTTTGATTAAATATGTGTGTGTATATATATATATATAAAAATTAAAAATTCTTTGGTTTGGCCAGCAAATTTTTTTCTTTAGAGCAACTAAATTTTAATTGTTTAAAAACTACTTGGTCCTGAATTGTGAATTTATACATTCTTATCAAATTTAGAAAAGATCACACGTTATCAGTTATGACTTTCACTTATGATTTTTGGGAATTTCATGTATGATTTTTGAACTATAATTTCAAACTATTGAACTACAAATCATAATTGTGCCAATTCTTATACCAAATATATTCATGTGTTAGTAATATATATGCCTAACACTGACCTGTTTTTATGAGTAAATAATTTTTTTTTTTAAGATTTATTTTTATTATTATTTTTTTTATTGGAAAGGCGGATATACAGAGAGGAGAGACAGAGAGGAAGATCTTCCGTCCGATGATTCACTCCCCAAGTGAGCGCAACGGGCCGATGCTATGCCGATCCAAAGCCAGGAGCCTCTTCCGGGTCTCCCACGTGGGTGCAGGGTCCCAAAGCTTTGGGCCGTCCTCAACTGCTTTCCCAGGCCACAGGCAGGGAGCTGGATGGGAAGTGGGGCTGCCGGGATTAGAACCGGCACCCATATGGGATCCCGGGCGTGCAAGGCGAGGACCTTAACCACTTGCGCCACCGTGCCGGGCCCGAGTAAATAATTTTTTTTTAGGTAAGTTTGAAAAATGCTTCTAGTACTTCATGGTAGTAGAGTCCATTTTTTATTACTCCATTATATTAACGATTTTTAAAAAAAGATTTATTTTTATTGGAAAGGCAGATAAACAGAGAGGAGAAACAGAGGAAGATCTTTCATCCACTGATTCACTCCCCAAGTGGTGCCAACGGCAGAAGAGCTGAACCAATTCGAAGTCAGGAGCCTGGAGCTCTTCTGGGTTTGCCACTCTGGTGCAGGGTCCCAAGGCTTTGGGCCCTGTTTGACTGCTTTCCCAGGCCACAAGCAAGGAGCTGGATGGGAAGCAGGGCTGCCTGGATTAGAACCAGTGCCTATATGAGATCCTGGGCATGCAAAGTGAAGACTTTAACCAATAGGCTATTGCACTGGGCCCTACTTATGACTTTTTGACCAGTTTGAATAGGATCACAATAAAAATGGGCAAACTGGCTCCCTCAACTTTTTATTTTGTATTTGTTGATTGTTCTAAAGAAAGAGGCACTGGCTTGGAACAGAGTAAGTTCCAGTTTATAAAACAACTATAGGCAGACAAAGCTGTTGGGGCAAAGAGGTTAACCCTTAGTTGACTATGTATAAACTGATTACAGGGAAAAGAAGATATATAGGAAGAATCCATTATAATCATATATGTTATATTACTTCTAGGTTTTTCACATATTTTAGAATTACAGGAATAACAGTGTAACCTTTCCTAAGAAATATAAATGGTTTACTTTTAATAAACATTTTTTTATTCTAATATAAAGAATAAGCTAATATTAGTTACTCTTGAAAAAAGAATGCCACATGAAAATGAATATTTTCATAGAAATAATTGGAACATATAGTTTATATAAATTACACATTATTAGATGATATTTCTAAAGTTCTCTTTAAAAAAATCACTGGGAAGAATTAGATGATTGTGAAATAGGTTCTCCCATTACAATACTGCTTCTGTCATTCAGAGTTTTGACAACAGTTGTAGCTGGAGACTGGAGAACTTTACGAGAAAGCCTCATTCGCCCATCTGCTGGATCACGTCCGAAGTATTTTACCTGTGTCAAAGCAAGATTGCCTGTTAGTTACAGCATACTGACCAACATCCACATTAAAAGATAAAATTTAAACAGTCCAAATAAGGCTAGGATTAATGTTTTACTTGTTCATTGACAGCTCAGTGTTAAGTGGAGGTATATATTATAAATAAATATACTTTGGTTAAGTACTTATAAAATAATACAGAGATATTTACTTGTCATAATATCATTTCTGCGTTTTTATTCTCCAGGCTAAGTCTCTTTTATATGGGAAGAACAGCTAATGACATGGTGAGTAATTCTTGTCCGGGCTTTCTGGGCTTAATTGTGCTATAACCATCCAGGATTATACTTAAGTTACTCTAACTTTTACGACTGCTAAAGGGATCACTACAGTGGAGTTTATTTGGCTTTACCTTAGGGGAAATGGGGCAAGTTTAATGTCCCGTCTGATGTCAAACAACAGCCTTATACAGTTATATTATACTTCTCATTTATCCTTGGAGGTCACTTAAACAATTGGACTACAGATTTGGAATAAACTTGAGGTCTTAGTTAACTTAGGTCATGGGTGTTAGATGTGACTAGAACAGAATGGTGCAATCAAAAAACAACAACAACAACAAAAAGTAGACCAGCGATTATTTCTTTCATTCACTCAAAGACTACTAGTTATCAGAATTCTAGGCCTTATCAATATGACTCCTATCAATCTTAAAAACTTCCAGGCTCAAGTAGTGGGGAAAGAGAGCTCCTCAAAGGAGATATTTAAGGCCTGATTTCTTATGTCTGCTTCCATGTCAGTGAATCTGCATAGCCTGTAGTGACCTGCCTATGTACTTTTTTTTTTTAAGCTAAACTATAAGTTTCTTGAAGGACAGATATTGTATTTTGTATCATTAGAAGCACCACATATAAATAATACTCATAATAGATGTCAATTCTAATCTTTCAGCTTTATGGAAATTAAAACTTCAAGTAGAATTTGTAATGTTAAGGCTAAAAGGCTGAATACAGATACCTGAATTTCTTGGCCAACTTCTAATCCCAAGGCAGAGGGATGTTTAATCTGAAAGAAAGCGTATTAATGATGAATTGTTAACCATAATGATGTAACATCTATTTAAGTACGCAGTTTTTTTCCAAGTACCTATAAATTTTTCCCAATTTACTGGTTTTTCTGATTTTATAATCTTAATTTTTATATCAGTGAATGAAACATTACAGTTGAGTAGTCAAACTGTATATTTAACATCTCCTAGGATAGCCATTTGCTTTAAATTTCAGTATTGTAATAATTTGTTGTATTATCAGCTCTGGTTTTCTGTACATTTAAGATCTTTGACGTTTCTGTGTTTTGCTGATCATGTATTCATCTGTTCCAGGAGTGGGGAACTTCTGTCCTGTTTGCTGTACAAAGCATGTAAAATCATTTGGTCTGGCTTTGCCAAGGCAACTGCAGGTGGGATTTGAATTTCAATACATCCAGAGTAGGCTATTTTTTAATCTGATAATAATGTATGGTTCAGGAATTGTAACTATTCAAGTGGTTGTTGGTATAAAAAAGGCTACTCTATAATCTATTCTGCCATCACAGAACAAAGTCCCAAATGTAGAACTAATACATCCACAAACAATGACCAGACTATGTATAAAAAAGCTTTCCCAATTCATACTCAGATAAACAATATATGAAAATGTCTATCTTTTCTTTTATGCTGGGAGTTTTCAACTGTCTAAATGTTAAAAATAACATCTTGATTTTATTTGTATTTCTTGAAACTGCCAGTGACACTGAGTACATGGATCGATTTAAAAAATCGATTTACTCATGCACTCTGCTCATTTTAATACTGATGGCCATTTTCCCTATTGACCAGTGTTTGTATATTCAGCTTCTATCATATTGTAAGCACTTTTCCTTTGGTTGCATCTTTAACCTTATTTGATTTTTGTCATATCACTTGAAAAATTTTGAAATCAAGTTTAATCAGTCTGCTTAGGTTTTTGGCTTTGCTGTCATGAAAGATTTTCCAGTATCTAGATTATTAAAATAGCCACATTTTTATCAGGTGCAGTGCCCCGTCTATATTTTCTTCTTTCCTTACCACTGTTTTCTTCCTGTTTTCCTTCTCCTTTATTTTTTGTATTTAGCTCTTTGATTCAGATGCGATTTTGGTATAAAAACGAGTATAGACCTTGTTATAACCATACTGAGTTACTGAACAGTCTATTTCTTTGCTGACTAAAATGGAACTTTGGATAATACAGCATTGAGTATACTTAACAGTATAGAACCATGTACAAAGTGTCTTCAAAAATTTAATTAGAAAAATGCATATTATAAAATAACTGCAGAAATTTCAGAAAGTTTTTGCAGCAAAATAAACCTTATCTTTTAATTCTGTTTTCCACAAACTTTTTGAAGTATCCTTACATCTAACCAGGCTTATTTCTGGTCTTTTTTTCTGTTATATGGATTATCTATTTCTGAGTCAGTAACACTGTTTTGTGTATAACATTATATTTTAATATTTGGTAAAATATACTCCCTTATTATTCCATAGCCTTGTAGTTTTCCTGATGAGTCTTTTATTCTGTTTTTTACATGTATGAACTCCAAGAAGATTTAAAAAAAAAATCCCAAAACATAGGTTGGTATGATTTATTATCAGCAGAAGTTTGGAAAAAGGGGCTGTATGTTTACTTTTAATAAATACATGCCAACACTGGATGATGTTCTACCACTGTCATGTAAGGAGGAATGTGAACAGTCTTGGTAACCAATAAAAACTTGCCAGCAGCATCTCTGCTTGTTTTGTTTTTGTCATATTTGTTTAATTTTCTATTTTTAATTAATTTATTTTATTTTATGACACAGTTTCATAGGCTCTGGGATTCCCCCAACCCCTCCCCAAGCCCTTCCTGTGTTTAATCTTCTATTAGCCAAAGTCTACAATTCTCATCAGTCTAGGTAATTTTAATATGGTTATCAGAGTTCTGAAAGTAATTGAATCTTTTACCTTTCGATGATCAAGCTGTGAATTATGAAGTAGTACTGCAGTCATGTTTGGATATAGTTTTACCATCACTCCACTGTCTCTATAATATAAAGAGAAACATTAAAAACAGAATAAAAGTGATATATATTCAGAATATTAAAAAAACCAATAATTATATAACACATAATATTTAATAAAAATGTACCTCATAATTAGGTACTTTTGCAGCAAAAGACAAAATTGAAAGGAAAAATGTATAGTGAAAACTTTCAGAATATGCATTCATCTGTATTTTTCTTCATAATTCCAAAAACTTTTAAAAATACATTAAATATTTTAAAATAGTGTAGGATGCCATTTAACTTGCTAGATAGTGATAGTAATTTCAGTAAGGGTGTTAAAAACTTCTTTTTTTACCTTGACTTGCCAAGTCAGAACATCCTACTTCATATTTTCATCTGCAATATTGAATCACATATCCTGTTGCCTTTAATTATTTAGGAACACATCTACTGTATCGGATTTTTTTTTCCTCAGAGGATTTTCTAATTTTGAAACTCCCATTAGTTTCACAAATAAAAAAATGCACTGGGGTCAGGCCTATGGTGTGGCAATAAGGCCAGCGATTGAAAAGCACACATCCTATTTCTGTGTGTCTGGGTTAATTCTTGTCTGCCCTCTTTCTTATTCATGTGCTCCCCAGGGCACAGCAATTGATACTCAAGCTCTTGGGTTCCTGCCACTCACAGGGAGATCTGGAATCTGGGAGAGCTTGGCTCAGCTCAGGCTACTGTAATTTTTGAGGGGGAGAAGTGAACTAGAAAATGGGAGCTCTGTGTGGCCTTAAAGAAATAAAATGCGTTGAACTTGAAACTTTAAAAAATATGTACTAATTAATATTAAACAATATCATTTGTAAAAAATTAAAATTATTTACATTTATATACTTGAAATGCAGAGATATTTTCAATCTACTGATTTATTTTGCAAATGCTTGGAAAAGCAAGAGGCGGTTCAAGCTGAAGTCACTCAGGAATTCTGTCTAGATCTCCTGCATGGGTGGACAAGAGACCAAGCACTTGTTGCCCTCCAGGCTCATTGACAGGAAGCCGAGTTGGAAGAGGAGTAGCTGAAACTCAAACCAGCATTCTAGTATAGCTTGCGAGAGTTCTAAGAGGCAGCTTAACCTACTGAACTAACAATAAAAATAACAGGAAATAATGCTTTATCAATTTTGGACCCATTTCCTGTTTACTGGGAAACTTAAAATGACAGCCTATTTGGATAAGGAAAATGATTTAGTTAGGACAATATATTATAAGCACAGAACTGTACTACTAAAAAGCAACAGCTATAGATAATAAAAACCTTGAAAATCATTATTATGTGGTAACTTATGTATAATCTAAATAACTTATGATTTCAAAATGAATACAACAAATAGGAAATTAACCTGAGCTTATAATATAAATGTTTTAAAAACCAGCACAGTATGTTGCTTGATATTACCTGATTTCAGTTATTGTGGCGGTATAAACTGCTCCAAATTCTAACTGTTGCTCCTGCTGTAAGTGCAAAATAAACCATCAGATTAAGAACCAAACAAAAAGGAGAAGAAACAATAATAAGAACTGTACTTACATCATCTTTGCAGATCTCAATAATGAAGTCTCTTGCTTCATGCATTGCACTAGGTGTTGGAGCAAATATAGAAAATGTTTCTTCATCCACCTGGCTAATAGTTACACCTTTTTAAAAGATAATTTAACATATTAATATTAACTTGCACAAGCAGTGGAGTCTAATCTTAAAAGTAGATGTGACGGCTGCAGCTCCACAGGCCACTGTAAAGAAATTGCCAGGAAAGCAGAAAGAAGCTAATTTACAAAAGAAAAAAGAAGAATGCGTAAAAGGGAGTGACTCCAAGAAAGTTAAAGTGCTGAAAATACAATCTGTCATCCAGAATAAAGGTTATGTGGCCCTGGGGCTCAAGAACCAGGAGCTGAGAGATGGGAGGCAGCAGGCAGCCAAGGCCTTCCTGCAGCAAGCTTTATACCAAGAAAGGAACTAAGAGAATTACTATAAATAAGTTTCTGTCTCTGGACAACAAGCGCTCACCAGTGAAGAAGGCTGTGCCCAGTTCCTGCATGACACCTGGGGAACCCAGAGAAAACAAAATGCCAAGAAGTTTAAGAGATGCTCGATGGTCAGAAAGAAAAACTTCTAAGAAATAAATTAATCTAAATGAAAAATATGTGTTCTCTATGTACAGAATTTAAAAGTGTAACAATTATTTTCTCTAAAAAAATCCTTAAATTCTTAAAAACATAAGCTATCTGGGAAATACCTGGCTATTTTATCCTTCTAAACTAAAAAAAAAAAAAGGTAGATGTGACAACAGTGGAAGGACCTGTACAGTATTATGTTGTTTTAATTACTGCTTTAGGGATTAAGGGATTTGTTCACCAACAGATATACGTGGCACACTTGCTCTGATTTTCACATTGCAGGAGGTTCTGTGGGTACGAATAGTAAACCAATGTCCTCCCTTTCTTGGAACCCACTATCTGGTGAGATTAATGCAGATCCATGCCAACACTGAAGGGTCTGGTCTCACTTCAGTTGGGTAGAAACCACGTTAGAGTCTTTTACTCTTTAGTCCCCTCTGTCCCCATCTTACCCTTTATAAAGGTGGAATGACGAGATGAAATCATGTCAATTTCTTAATAACTAGCTAAGGCAATTGTACTTCTCACTTTAATAACTTCAAAATTGCTAAATACCAGGTAGCCTAGATGTTGCTTCTAAATAATACATTTTGGAGCTTAATATTTCTGCATATAGTCTGTAAATAAGAACCTAAATAAAGCTCAGTATCAAGCATCAGGAGATCATCAATCAAAAGTGAAAAAAAAAAATTAATCTGGATATTCAGCTTTTATATGTTGCAAAACAAACCAGATGACCAAACCAACCCAAAACCCAGTAAATCCTTTGTCATACTCCATAATGATCATTATGGATGATCATTTACCAATTTATTAAAATGCACACAAAAAACTTAAAAATAGGTCATATCCATTTCTCTTGGTGTTTGATTTCTCAAAGTTACTTTTGGAGCAAATCAGTGGAGATGAGATAGAAAACGTGCATGGTCCAGCATTGAATTAAGTATTTCAAACTCGATGAAATTCTTACCTGTTTCAGCCTGAAGTTTTTTTAAATGATATCCACCTGGTCCAACAAATTTTGCTCGTTTTGATAATGGAACTTGAACAGTTTCTGAAATATAATACAGATAAACACATAAATCCTACAAATACATACATGAATCAAGGAATGTTCTAACAGAATATTCTTATTTTCTAGGCTAATACATGTAAAAATATTATACCATGAAAATAGGAAGAGAGCTTATTATTCAAATTGCTGAAATATGTCCAAGATTTTTTTGTCCCTC